GAATATCGTCCAAGGACAAATGTACGAATTCGTACCCAGACGGGTGACGCGACATCAATGAAGAGGATAATCACCCGAAGGCAAAACAAACTGAAAGACCTTGCGCGAATCAGAGGGAGTGCAAGCGTCCGTTCTGCGCAAGTATCAAGAGTGAACGAAGCACAAGGACGACTCACGTGCGGAGGCGAAATCGCCTACATGATTGAGACCGCCGAGGGCAAATGCTTCCTGGAGCGTCTGGATTCCAGCTGTGTCGTTAGCCATGTACATCTTATCCAGGTAGGCGATCACTGCCTGTACATCAGAAGAACAGTTCTGTGGCATGTACTCGCGAATAGGGGTGAAATAATCATAATAGTCACTAATTTTGGTTCAGAAGAGGCCGGAATTCAATAAGCGATCACATATTCATCCATGTCAGAGGTGATTATAAAGGAAGAGAGAAGCAATCCATCATATCAATAGAAGTCAGCGATGATTGCAATAAAGTGACATACGTGATCGTTTCCACGGTAGCAGAAGATAAATATCCAGCCCAGAAAATTCCCGGTTTGCTTTGAGTCGATCACTATGCTGAAAAAATAACATCTGTTGGTGGCACTCACTTGACCATTGTATAACTGGAAAGGGCTCCCGAGTAACTTCCTCCGACCAATATCCATGGCGCCTGACCTGGTTTCACAGCATCACCCCCAGACATGGGAAGGTCGGCTGTAGTCGCAAAATACACGAGATCATCGATGGCCTGCTGGATGGTGAGGAGCGAGAGAGATTGTGACGTGAGGTTGTCGTATGGATTGGAATCACCGAAGAAACGGTGTTCGATGAGGATGGCTGCACCGTTTTGTTGCTGAGCAATGAGACCATTGATGCTGTCATTGGTAACGTAGACTTTGTAACCTGAAATCAAGTACTTTGAGAGAAAGGCAACAAATCAATTATAGTAAAACCAACCATCTGCGTTATCTTCTCCGGGCGTCATCAATATAATGGGACCGCCTTGAATGCACATATCAATATCACTTGAAGCGCATCTCGACCCTCGCGACATACCAGGCTCATAAAACTCCCAATTCATCCAGTATCGCTGCTGGAATGTTCCAAGGTCTGGATTATTGTGGTCGATGAGCTGGTCGAAGTAATAGGTGGTTGTGATGTTTGGTAGTGCTGTGCCATTTGGCGAAGTGATAGAACGTTCCGGGACTGGAATCTTTGGGAGAGACTGCATACCACGAAGCATGAGATTGGGAATGGCTGCTTGGGCGACGCCCGCAAGTAGCAGCGACGTGAGGGCCCACATCTTGATCACAATGGTTGGACTACACGACATGATGTTGGTGGGGGAGGGGCGTTTTATATGTAGTCATCTCGTCGGGAGGTGTAGGGTAACCAGGCTGCTCAGCGGCCCAATGTGCCTGGATTGAAGTTGGTCAAAGACTCGTCATGGATTCCCGGATGATGGTAAATCATGAGAAACTACATAAATCGTACCTGCCCTGCAATTAGCCTGCTGATGAAAATTTTACATAGAAATTCTGTTCACCGCTTGAATGGATATTGATGGGGAAGCGCCAGCGCCCTGGGAATCATCTTAATACAGCGGATAGAAGTTGCTCATTTCGCCAGCGGTCACTTTGGTACTGCAGGAAAATTAGCCCGGGGCAGTGCCGCAGAGTGCATGGTTTTTTTTCAAGTGCGGTGATATCCTCGCAAGTTTCACTGTCTGCTGACTTCAGTTGGCTAGCAGGTCGGCGTTCCGTAAATACGTAATTTTGGTGACCCTGGGCACTGCGAGCGTAAAGTGGGAATACCACAGGAAGAAAGATCTGGATCCTGGAAATGCAATTGAAAGGTGAGGAGAGCTTGAAGAAGGACAAGTAGAACCTCGAAGATGTGCAAAAACACAAGGCCAGTGAGTTATTGTGCTCGCTGTTACATTTCTTAAGTCGATCCAATTTTTACTAGTATGGCAGCGCCAAGGATGGTAAGTGCCTCCCGCGTGGTGCTTATTCTCTGTAGTATCGGGCGTGCCATTAGAATACTAAAAGGAAAATTCGCATGGGTTTGGCTGTGAGAGGCACAGAGCTTCTTGGATGAAGTAGAATGTGATGGCAGTTGTTGCAAGTACCGCTGTTCGACACTACGACAATCGCGAAGTCGGAGAAGTGGAAATGGACGGGATGACCGATGTCTGGATAGTAATGCTATAGAGTACACAACTTCCCTGGTTGAAAAATAGATTTTGCATCGAGAAGACCAGACCTACTTTGCGCAGGGTCAGAAGGCGTAGCGAGCAAATTCTCAACGTCCTCATCTTTTACAGTCCATCGTGAGGTGCTGATAACGAAATGTTGCAAATCGGATCAACGCGCCGGCAATTTATCAGTAGAGAACTTCACATCGTGATGCAACACCCGCCTGTATATCGGAGACTTTGTCATCTCGAGTCCTACAAAATGTCGATCAAGCTAGGCTAACCTGGGAGCGCGCCCCAGAGCACTCGAGATTCCTTCCAACATGATCCAAAAGGTTGCAAAGGGTCTTCCCAGTCTGTCAGAAAGAACCCCATCAAGCTCAATGTACTGTTCACGAGTAATGATACACAATAAGTTCAGAGGATCCATAACATGACGCTACCTATGTAGCCCATAAAGCCGTTCCCGTGACATAGATATCACAGAGCAACCTGCGAGCAGTCGTAGACCAGGGAGGAACTATATCAGGTGATACTGTGCTGAAGTACTAGTAGCACTTGCGGCACTGGTGTTAGGCTGCTGCCAAGAAATAATAGCTGCCTTATGTCAAATCCGGGCGGGGCAGTAAATCAGGAAACGATGCCATCTGAATAAAGTTGATTTTCACGACTCACGAGCGTCTAAAATGGGACACGAGTTGATTTGATGTTGTGAAGGAGGACGAGTACACACACTACCGCAGCTAGAAGCAAGATGTCCACTCCCCCTAAAGCAAATTCACTTGAACCACACTCAACAAAGAACTCCATCAAGATTCAAAATCCAGCACAAACGGCGGATGGCTCATTGTGGCCGCATCAATCTAGTGACCACCCCTCGTCCAACGTTTGAAGGTCATGACGGCGCCATAACCGTAGTTACAGCTCGTCACAGTCTTCCCCGATCAACGACGAATGGTCACTGAATCGTACGACAAGACACTTTATCTGTAGACTTACTGTGAGTAAAACCAAAGGAGAACATTGTATTTAGAGAAGCATGGCGGACGGGCCCGGGTATGGTGATGATGACATGTATTTGGCGGCCTACGTTGCAGCAATTACGTGGTCAGGGCTAGCCCTACATAGAACTAAATCGCGCACTCTATGATCAAGTCTGCTTGTCTGAGATACTTTCGTACATGAATCAAATTCTGGACCTATCATATACTCGCTCGAAGAAGCGGTTGTCTCGAAAATCTCCTATCGTGCTTGCCAGGACATGCAAAACTTTCCATGAGCCGGCTATGGGCTAAGTTGAACGGGATCGAACCATTGCTAGGTTGTATACTGAGGCTTGTGACATCCCATGGTATATTGTCCCGACAGAAAGGTCAGTGCGAACTGGTTGGGCTTTACCTATTCGTTCATCAGCTCAACGAAGATCTAAACGTAGTACCCCTGGTCCTCTTGAGGCGTCAGCCCATTATCTGACCGTGAGACCAATCAATTTTTGCTTCGCACTGCCCGTGTGCGGTCATTGTGAATATCTTCCGGCGACCATTTTCACCTTTTCTCAGTCCTCCCGACCGAGACATGCATTTTCCCGAGCTTGCTGTCGTTATCAGCGGCTCGAGATCTGATTAGCTGCATCTTTTCTTGTCAACAATGCTACGTCGTTGCGTACTACTGGTCGTTCAACCGGATTTGAAAACTGTTGTCACCCGCTGTGCTACTTGGAGGACCTGTCCATTAAAACCTTTGATGAGAGTACAACGGACGAGTTATCCTTACTGTCTGACAGCATCCGTTAGTGCACATGGATCTTAACTCGGTCCTGTCCACCTCTCGATTGGGAAGCATGAAAACACCTCTCCGACCTTCCTACCCTTCTCATGTCGGAACGACTTTTGCCCATTGGACTGGCCTATTCTCGACTTTGCCTCATTACAGTCATGCGACATTCAGAACTTCCTTCGCTGAAATATCTCGCGATGTATGTTGATTCTTTGGCTTGGATGGAGGCTGAGCAGTTCTTTCGTGCCCTATCATAGTGAAAAACTCTTGCGCACATTGTCATCTCCTCTGATAAGCGAGGAATCCTTCTGACGCCAATCAGACAATTTGTTTGTTTCATGTAGCTGCAAACCCTGAGGCTGCGATTCCTGTGTTGCTGCATCAACCTTGACAACAGCCTGCTCTTGGAAGCCATGTCAAGTTGGCCGCACGTCTACTCACTGGAATTATTCGATCTGCAGATGCCCGCCTACTGTTACATTCTGTGGATTATGCACAGAACTCCGTCGATGTCCCCACTTGCATATCCTGAATAGTGATATTGACCCTGAAGCCGAGTCGTTTCAACATACCGCCCGATCAACGGGCTTCACCCAGTTATGTGCAGTGGCTCGTACAGCGGATGCTAAAGCTGTCCCTTGCATCATCAACTCCATGCATGTTCCTTTGCGTCAACCGAGTTAAACATCTATACAATTTTTGACCAGGTACTTCCGGTCTTCGAGTCCAAGCGCAGATGAACACCCCGATTGGTGAGGGATCGGTGCGGCGCAAGGGAAGAACCCGATCTGAAAGACTAGAAAGGTACTGCCAAGGTATAAATATCGTCATTGCGTCCTTTCAGAATCAACTGAGCTCAACTGGCAAAGCTGCAGCCACGTCCAATTACATCCTCTTCAACTTTTCTTATGCAGAACAGTACATGCACCCACTTACGCATCGTCCCATGACTATAAAAAGACTTGCTAACGCTCAACCATGTTGTCTGATCCCATCATTGCGATCGAGGTTCGGCATCATGTGGGCCCTTATGTCGCTCCTACTTACAGGTGTCGCCCAAGCAGCTATTCCTAATGCCATACTTCACAGCATACATTCTCTCCCCAAGCTCTCAGTGCCTGAATGTTACCGCACTTCATTGAATGGCACAGCGCTCCCACCCATTACGACCGTCTATCACTTTGGCCAGCTCATAGACCACAATGACACAGGGCTCAGAGCCTTCCAGCAGCGGTACTGCATGAGCTGGGAGTTCTACGAGCCTTGTATGTTGAGAGGATGGAGGTGCGCTCGATGTTAATGCGATACATTGAAGGTGTCCCCATCATATCAGTGACACCTGGAGAAGGTAACACAGATGGTAAGTGCTATGTTATTCATTTTGTGCTTTTCTCTTAAGTACCTGGTTTTCATCAGGCTAGTGACGAAGCTCACACTACTGATGAAACCATCAACGGTCTCATTGCTCAGCAACAGAATGGTGCAGCCATCCTCATCGAACACCATTTCTTTGGCTATTCCAATCCAAATGACAACCTCACGTCACAATCCCTCGCACTCCTCACCATCCAGCAGGCCATTGATGATCTCGTGTATTTTGCGACTACAGCTGACCTTCCCATGCCTGGGGGTGATGCTGTGAAACCGGAGAAACAAGATTAAGACGAGTTCATAGGAGGTCAAATGAAAAGGTGGTCCGTTAAGCCTAAATATGACTAAGCGCGCTTGAATTTCAAGGTTTAGGTTGACAGGTATAAGGGCTGGTCAATTCTAAAATGTCGTTGTCAATGTCGACTTGAGCTTACGGTCACCTCTCGTAAATTACTTAGGCGGACCCTAAACCTTTCCTGATTTGGCCACTACCATGTCGGCTAAACCATTGCATGGGAGACGTTCTACACAGTATCCTTGTCCTAATTCTCGGGCCTCTGAAAGTTAACTAACTACCTAAACCTTGCCATGAGTGATCCTCATTGTATAGAGCCTCTGAAAGTCAGCCACCTAAACCTTACCATGTAATATTAGTTCCTAAACCTTTTCATGGATTATTCCTAGTAAATCTTTCCATGTAGTGTTGCTTCCTAAACCTTTCCCTAATCAAAGTCTTTTAATAATCCAGCTTAACGAGTCTCATCAGTACCAGAAGTACTGCGTGCAAAATTGCTTAAACTACTCAAAACTTGCCCGAGCAAAATATATGGGCCCCAGTCGACTACAAGTATCATGAACAAAAGGTTTAGGAGGACATTTAGCAATAGAACATAGGTTTAGGAATACTACATGGCAAGGTTTAGGTAGTTAGTTAACTTTCAGAGGCCCAAGAATTAGGACAAGGATACTGTGTAGAACGTCTCCCATGCAATGGTTTAGCCGACATGGTAGTGGCCAAATCAGGAAAGGTTTAGGGTCCGCCTAAGTAATTTACGAGAGGTGACCGTAAGCTCAAGTCGACATTGACAACGACATTTTAGAATTGACCAGCCCTATAAGTTGATTTTACAAGGGTTTCACGTGAGAGAGAAGCCCACATTGACCGTCGAGTCGTTCGGGATCTGAGTTTGAAGATCGGAGATCTGCGAAGCGGAAGCTGCTTCCAGGCACTGCCAGGCTGTAGCATTCTAAGCCAGCTTTCAAGTGGTGCACGTTATGTACCTTCGCTCTGTATCCACGGTGAAGCTAAGTGAAGATGATGATGTAGTCAATCGATGGGTAATGCACTGCAATGCTCAGTCAACTAAGATCTGTGCTGTGGAGCCTTCCTGAGATGATGAAATAGAAAGTGCGAGTAAAAGCTGGCTCAGAATGCTACAACCTGGCAGTGCCTGGAAGCAGCTTCCGCTTCGCAGATCTCCGATCTTCAAACTCAGATCCCGAACGACTCGGCTCATTGATTTGCAGGATACTATGGCCAAAGTGCTCCGAGAATCGGAGGGCAAGCTCAATAGAAACTCGCGAGTAATTTTGCGGGGGATTAAATTTCCAGCGAATTAGCTTGGATGACATGCTATGCTTTGTGCCATAATTTTTATTGTCCCTCTTTCGCCTTTAGATTTATGCTCTCCTGACGTTTATCGATTATCCTCCAGGTTAAGCATTTTTTTCGGCATTTGTGTTCCGTTATTCAAGTTGCCAATCAGCAAATGCGACTAGGTTCCTATCAACACCACCACCCAAACACAACATGAGAACGATCAAAATAACCAACAGAGAGAAAATGAAATAAAAGGAGCCTCGAGACTCTTAAGAATTCTGATATCCAAATCAACATACCTCATCTGGAGTCCTGGACCACAAGATGCGACAAAACAATAAACGGAACCTCACACACAACACAAGCAATGACGAAAAGATGGACAACAACCATCGACAAAAGACTGTATACAACTTGACAGAATAACAGCAAGGAAGATCAACCGCACAAAAAAATTCGAAAACCTAGTCAACTTAACATGGTCAAACATGGTCAACATTAACGACTCGACCCCAAAAAACTGGGTCATCACCCTCGAGGTTTAAGTGGGTATCACACCGCCCAGGTCCTCCCTGAACGAGGTCACCAGATAGCCGTAGAGTCCCACACTCCACAAACAAGTGGGAGTGCGTAAGTGCATTTTCCTTCGGACCGGTGTTCCAAGAATACCGCTCGTCCAAAAAAAAATGTGACTAGGTTCCGAAGAAAGCGCTCAGAAGGCTCGTGTGCATATGCTTTAGTTAGGCGTTCCTCACGTCCGTTTTTGGTTAAGTTAGTACAATCACAGCTTGTGACCACTGCAGGTGTATCGTGCATTGCGCTCAGACTTTCACTAGTGCATTTTTTGTTTCGTTGCGACTCAACTGCACCATGATGTTTATATTATTTTAGAGATCAAATCAAGCCCATATTATTTTCAAAGTGTGCTACCAGTGAAATCGTAAGCGTTCGTAAGTGTACGTATACGACGTGGTAAAGCCTACAATTGACTACAACGTCATCTTTTATCCCGATTAGCTCACTCAGGTGGATACAGAGCGAAGGTACATAACGTGCGCTACTTGGCTTAGAATGCTACAACCTGGCAGTGCCTGGAAGCAGCATCGCCTCACAGATCTCCGATCCTCAAACTCAGATCCCAAACGACTCAACGGTCAATGTGGGCTTGACCTCTCTCACGCGAAACCCTTGTGAAGGTACCTGTCGACCTAAACCTTGAAACCTAAGCGCGCTCCAGCCATATTTAAGTTCAGCGCACTCGCCATAAACTCCATAACCAGCCAGCCACCTTTTCATCTGACCTTCTACGGACTCATCAAGTTAATCTCCCAACGTGGGCCACCCAAAATGAACCCTGTTCCTCTTATTAACCACCCTTGCACCGTATGCTGCAGGCCCACTTCAATGTGGTGCAGCCGCTGCCAGTCCGCGTGGTATTGCATTCCCGAACACCTTCAAAGCGCAAGTCTTTAATGACAGTCGCGTGATGGATACGCGACTTATCAATGACGACTCATCTAGGATCGGCCGCGCCATCGAAAGGAATGTGTTCCAGCGACCCATGCCCAAAATTATAATATTATTGCCATTCCACCGCCTGCTGAGCAGCAAGTGATTATGGTTTCTGCTATTCTCTTCTCGCCCGAAGAAGGTAAATCCGAATGCGTTTTTATGTTATTACGGCATGCTCATCACTTGCAGAGCGCCCAAGAATCATTACGGTCAAGTGCCGTCCATCCCAAGTCCCGTCGCAGGGCATGTGTCCTCAACCTCTCGTCAGTGGTCATTTTCCGGACGGCCAAGCGGAAAACATTGTCTTGACGCTAGGTTTTAATGGAGAACTGCTCAGATTTCCCCTTCATCTGTGGTACCCCCTGACTGCACTATCACCTTGTGCACCCATTAACCGTGTCACCTCACGCCACCCCCCGGCCCGCAATGAGGAGGATCCGACCATACGGAAGCGACGGACCATCGTCATCTTCCAACACCCTTACTTGACGGACGTCACGGGCTACGTCACTTTCTCCAAAGGCTGCAAGGACATTCTCAATGATGGTACTGATATGATGATATCAGAGAGGGCAGTGCCCAGGGATGCTTTACCAGAGGAAGCTCTCAATACACCTGCATCAAAGGTATTTTTCTGTTATTTCATCGTCCATGCCGCATCTCATATCTCGTCTTTTTGATTTCAAGACTCAAGATTCTGATTTAAGGGCACGTCTGCATGTTTTACTCTGAAAACGTTATCTGAGCATGCTTCATGCCACAGATTCTTGCTATCGACACGCCCGCCCGCAATGCATGCATCGCGGGGGACTTGTCTACTGCTGAAAAACTTCTCACACAAGATATCAATGCCAATGTCAACAAGTACGCCTCGTATGCCAATCGCTCGTTTGTTATGGCACGTAAGCACCACTGGGACCATGCGCTCCAGGATGCGATCAAGGTAAGATATACTGACCCATCGCTGGTCACTATGAAAGGCTAACTCTCATCACGACATAGTCTATCAGCATTCAGCCCTCCTTGACAGGCTGTATCTCCAAGGGCATCGCCCTCGGCGGGAAAGGGAACATCCGGGATTCGATCCGAGCGTTTGATCTTGCGTTTACGTTCGCGAACGAAGATTCAAAGATTATTATTTTTCTTCTCTTGATCAAGGCACGTTAAATTTTTCTGACATGTTCTTGTCTTCATCATGGTCTTCAGGCTATCGCAATCTTCAATGCAGGCCAGCATGAGGAAGCAGTTATACGTGTGCAAGAGCTCGCTGCCACTTGCCGGAACGATGTCCTTGCATGTCGTATCGTAGAAGTGAGACTCAACGATGCCTAGGCTCGTGTACCGACACTGATTATCTGAACTCTGGACATCAGGCTCACTTCCGAGTCCAACTGGTAATCAATGCCTTAGATAGTGGGCGTCACAACGAAGCTGCTGAGCACTTCACTGCGGCTGTAAAGATGGACATTTTCTCATCTCGATCGGCCATTCATTCTAGATATGACGACTTTGTGGTGGTACGTTGATATGCAATTGAAAATCTTTTCATGTTCAACTGGGTGCTTTGTCGCAGCTGTTTGGGTGGGACCTTGCGTCGTTGTGGATGACTGCAAACCAGAAACGTTGCCATGTACTCCTTCAGGCAGGTAGGCTTTGGGAAGCCATCAGATCGTACCAGTATACGTATATGGTGGATGTAGGTGATATAACTACGAAGGCTGACTCCCTTGATTGGTCTACCGGCAAGTCTTCAGTCATATCACGCATTACCATCCTCAACTGTATCTCATTCAGTTTTCAAGCAAGAATGCAGCGCGCTCTGTGCTGCCAATGGAGACGCTGCCTTCGTTGCAAGCAATTATGACAGGGCTATCGACTTATACTCAGCGGCGATTGAGCTGGATCCTGCATCTGATACCATCTTTGCAAAGCGCAGTAAGGCCAAGTCAGGGAAAATGTTATGGATCGAAGCACTTCACGATGCGCAAAAGGTGCGATGGCATTTATCATTTCGCAATCAAAGCTTATTGTGGTGGTACTTAGGTCATCAAACTCAACCCTTTATCTTACCTTGGATACAATCTGAAGCACACAGCGCTTCATGGTGCACAACGCTATGATGAAGCGGTCCAGGCCTTCCAAATTATGATGTTTAAATTGGACGATGCTGCTGACGTTC